CTCTCTCTCTCTCTCTCTCTCTCTTTCTCTCTGTCTCGGTGCTTCAAATTTAAACTCATTGTCAGCCAAAAAGTTATTATCCTTCATTTCTGATCAATTGAAATTTCCATCGTCGAAAGTTTCACTTTTTATTTCGTTGAATGTAATTAATTCTCCTGGCAAGGTTTTTAGGTTAGGTTTAGGCTTGTCGGAGTTTCAACTCTGCTGATAAATATCTGAATATTAACGAAAGTGATAATTACTGTTATAATGCAAATATAACAACAATTGTTATTTGTTATTATTATTATTATTGTTATTTGACAAAATTAAGTCAGATGAGATAAATTCCACGTGTGCAGTTCGAGTTCGAAATTAATGCTCGAGTTTAAATTTGAATTGGACGAAAGATGTGATGAAAAATATCGCCGGTGTGTTGGGTTCAAAACTTCGAATGTAATAACGGAATGCAACGGAGTGAATTGAAATCGTGAGTTTGCAAACGCTTGGACTCGGATCAGAAATAAGTCAATTGTTGAATTAACTACCTAGCTCTTAGCGATGTAAAATTAGACCTTTGTATAGATCGGCCGTATTTTTAGCGTATTGTATTTCCAGAATCTTGAATTGGGATTAACACTTGGGATACTCCCGAGGAGTATTCGATTACATATTCCGGTTTCATATCGCCGGGAATCTTTCATAGCAATTCTTCTCCTTGAAAGAAAAAAAAAAACAAAAAAAAAAAAAATAACGCTTTGATATTTAAAGAAAGAAAGAAAGAAAGAAAAATAAAGTAGTTGTATAAGTTCAACGTACTAAAAAAGGTTATATAAAAGATCTGTTTGAGAAAATAGAGATATGTTTAAAGAAATTGTTCAGTCTGTTTAATTTTCAATTTCTTTGAACTCGAGATTACATTATTCTCAAGAATACGAGCGACGGTACGATCATTGTTTTCAACGACACTCTGCTGCACAGATGGTAATTTATCGACAGTCGGATTGACACTGTGCGTCAAATGTCGTAAAACTCGTATCGCCGGTGATAACACGTAACAATAAATAGAATGATAATCACAGAGAGAGAGAGAGAGAGAGAGAGAGAAATAACGAGAATTATTCGTAATATTAGCTGAAATGGTAATAAAAAGCAAATAGGGTATAAATAAAGGCAATAATTGGCA